AAAGGTCTGAAAACTGTTTTTTTATTACATCACTTGTGCATACCACTTAGGGGGGGAAAAAAATATTTTAGAAGAAGTCATTAAAAAAAACTTTTTCTAAAAAGTCTCTCCCTTTACCATGTTTATAAGAAAGGTGGTGCTAATGCTTTCAGGAAAACCTTCTTAAGAGAGGCTGAGCAATCTTGCATTACTGAGTTAGAAAGGAGATGGAAAACAAGAGAATATTAAAAAAGCCACTGATCAGGTCAATTGTAGGACCCTCTTTGCCCTCTGTCAGAGAAAACAGACATTCGATTTATTCAAGAGGCAAGTATTTAATAGTGATGAAAGAAAGTTTCTTTGCCACTAGATATCACTGAGTCCAAAAGTTTGATGGGATCGCAAAAAAGAACAGGCAGTCAGGATTTAGTAGAACTCCCATAAATTCACTAAATGATATTTTAAATTAGAAGAATTACAAAGCCTATGGTGTTTAAAAGAACTGTTAACCAACTCAGAATCAGCTAAGTTGGTATTTCCTTCAAATTCAGGCATGAAAAAATAACTTTTATTTCTCAAATGTTTGCAACTTCCTTTTAAAGCATCTGGTTGAAGCCAGCATCAGATACAGGAGATCAAACTACTCTCATCCAGAATGCCAACTCCTACACTACCCAGCACAAAGTGAAAAAGAAACAAAGAGAGACAGTTGTCTCAGCTCTGAGTAAAGATGTCCTCAAATTCCAGAAAATCATTTTTAATGGTGTTTTTCAAGTTACAGTACTTGCCTCTATCTCAAACAAGAATTAATCCAAGTCAAATCCCTTTTCTGGAGAGCAGGAGGAGAAAAGAAAACAGCAGCAAGTGTAGGATTTGTGACAAAACATCAGCAGCTACCAGGATTTTAACGTTAGCATCTGGATGACCGTTAATGTGCCAGTATCCAAATTCTGAATCCAAATTCAGAACTAGTCCAAAAGACAGAAAATAGTTAAAATAATAAAAGCCATATGGCACCTGTCTGCCATGTCCTTTGATAAGGCATTACCGTAGTCCTATGAATGCCTGAACTACAGCGATCACTGACACCACTGTATCAGAGAGGTCAAAGAAAAAGAGACTAAACAGACAAAAATCAAAGACTGAGAACAAAAGAGTTTCTGAGAAAGATTATAAACAAAAGACCTTTTCTTTCTAAAAATCTTTTTTATAAATACTCCTGCCAAAACAAAACTTCCTTTCCATCATAAAGCAGAAACAAATAGTTTTGTATGATAGCAAAGATCGTTGAAGGCGCACAAATTATTATTTATTTAGGAACTACATTTTCTGCAGCAGTTTTTTATATCCTTGCTTGATCTCCCTACAGTTCTTTCTATAGAGACCACTAATCACTTCAATTATTGGGAAAAGTTAGCAGTGTGTTTACTTCCTATTTCATAAAATGATTTTTATATAAAACTTATATTTTTAATACTTCACATAACAAAATATTTCAATGTTTTTATTTGCTCCAAATGCCATTTTCACAGCTATCATATTTATCATACAGCATAAAAGACATCTTCTCTATGAAGAAAACAAAATCTGCAGCCTATCGCTACAATATATTATTGTTAAATACTGCAAAAAAAGGTAAGAATGTAAAACCAAATCTTCTCCATACAGTTTATTTATACGTAACACTAAAGGAAGAACTGCAAGACAGTAAAATAATATGCAACGTACTCCATCTACTGGCAAAACAGAGTAGTAGGACAAAGTTTTACTATACAGCATCCCAATATTTAAAGGGACACTAATGTTTTATGCGCTAACATGTATCTAAACCACTTAGCAATGATTAATTTACCAGACGCACCAAACTGCATATTGCTGGTAGTTTCCTTTTCCACACTCGTACATACAAAGCAGAAACGAGACCCTTCTCATCGGTGCCCAGTGACGAGAGGTATTTCAATCTGGGCACAGATTGAAATACAAGACATTCAATTCAAAATTAAGAAAAAGAAATTATTGTGAGAGTGGCCAAGCACTGGAAGACGTTTTCCAGGCACATCACGGAGCCTCCATTCTTGGTGATACTCAAAACACAACTGGACACAGCCTTGAGCAACCAGCTCTGAGCAGGGGAGTTAGACTAGATGATCTCCAGAGGTTCCTTCCAACCACAGCGATTTTGCGATTGTGTGATCATACAACTACCTATGCCAGGCTTTTGACCTATGTCCCATTCTAAGTTTCCACCAGAACACTTGCACTTTTCTCAAAATACACCGTCAATATGGAAATATTTTAAATTATCTGTGGCAGAACTCTCCCAAATGGATTTTCAGCAGCTTCTAGTAATGCAATGCTTTTAAAACTCATGTACACTGTGATACACCATCCACCATAGGTGTACCTTCAACAAGGGAAATGGAACTTGCAGATTAAATCTAACTCAGGAACATATATCACCATGCCTTAAATAGAACAACTATTTTGTGCCACATTTCTGATAGCCCATCTGATCTAATCAAATTAAAAAAATCTAAAATACATTAGAAAAATTAAAGAACTCACAAAATAATAGGTAACTAAAAAACTAAATAAAGTTTCATAGAAAATACATAACCTCAGAAAAACCAACACATGATAAACTAACTCTCATTCTCTATTGTACTAGCCCCAAACAGTAAACAGGGCTTTAAACTGGGGAAGGCTGCTGCCCCGTGTGTAGTCCACTCTGTTTTTAGTGACGATGCTTGACAATAATTTCCTGTAGGGTTCTCAAGTGTTTCATCCAAATTGACCTTTTTGCAGCTATTTTCTAAAATACTGTAAACAAAGCTCCTAAAAAATTAATCAGGAAAATAATGTTATGATTCATGATTTTTTCCTTAGATTTATCTAAGGAAAAAAATTAATTCAAGTTCAAATAGCAGAAAAAATTGAAGGTTTTCAAAATCATTAATTGGAAAGTACAGGTTTTATCCTGTGTAATTAAAATACATGAATCATCATCCTTGTTACTCTGCTTGTGTAATACATTTTAGTCTTAAAAAAAAATCTTAGTTCTTGACCATAAAAAAATTTCAGCTCTACCTCTAAAATCATCTCTGTTCAGAAATCCCTTCTCTAAATTTGTTTCTTCCATTTATACAATCACAGTCCACCATATAATTTGCTGCTATACGAGCTCCCTACAATCTGCTCAGTTCTGCTCTCACTTTGCTCCAGCTCCTTCCTCCAAGCACCCTTCTAAGGCTGTATCTCTTCCTAGTTTCTAGTCTCCACTGAACTTACCGCACCAATCTTTAAGTATGCCCGTGTACTACTTGAACTCCTTCTGCAGATTTCTGATTGCCCATCAACTCTTGGTTCTCTCTTGATTACCAGATGCATCACATCCCTCCTGGACCAGCTACCTTTCCCAGACTCAGTGGTAAAAGCAGATTTTCATTTGACCATAGTCCCAAATACCACTAAGCCTCAAATTTTCTTGCCTTCCAACCTAAATCACCAAAATAATAGCAG